AGCTTGCACTCAGCCAGGTCTGCAGCCAAAGAACAAAGATAAGAGTTAGAGGACACAGCTGCCTGAGGACGTGCCCCAAATCACATGGACCCGACCCAGTCTTCCCTCCCCACCTCCTTGCTCTCCTGTCTTCCTTGTGGCAGGCCCAAAACCCTGCCCTTCCTCTTCCAAGAACCTTCATCACCATTAATCACACTCGTCCCTACTTCTCACCTTGAACCTTAGGGTTAATTCTAGTACTTTCTCTATTACCACAGCCTACTAGCCGGAGTGTGGAAGCAGAGCTCTGCTGGCACAGTGATGACCAGTATTCATAGCAATGTCCTTGAGGCTCTGCAGAATCTGCAGTCCCTCTGGAATCACTGAAGACTCGACAGTGAAGCTGCAGAGTTACGAGTACTTTATAATCGTCTACTTCTTTGAAAACAGGCAATTCACATAGACTTTGTGGTTTGACCTTCTTCTCAGTCCCGTTACTCTGAAGGCAAGCCGTGTACAAGAGGCAGCAAAGAAGCTGCTGTGGAGACTAATTTGGCAGTTCCTCAAATGCTTAAACCTAGAATTACCACATGACCCAGCAATTCCACTCCTAGCGTATACCCGAGAGAAATGAAACGATGTGTCCACACAAAAACACGTTATACATGGATACTCATAGCAGCATTACTCATAATAGCCAAAACAGAAAAAAACCAAATGTCTATCAGCTGATAATAAGAAATATGTTTGGCAATAAATAGAAATGAAGTACCGATATATGCTGCAACATTGATAGACCTTGAAAACATTTTGTTAAGTGAAATAAGCCAATCGCAAAGGACCATATATTGTATGAGGCCATTTATATGAAATTTCCAGAACAGACAAATGTATAGACACAGAAAGTAGATTAAGAGTTACCTTAGGATGGATGGCATGGGAGGATTGTGGAATGGCAACTAAGGGGTGAAGGTATCTCTGTGGGGGCAATGCAAATGTTCTAAAATTTGATTGTGGTGATAGTTATACAACTCTGTGAATACACTAAAACCATTGAACTGTATACTTTAAACGGATGAATTATATGGCATGTGAATTATATCTCAGTAAAGCTGTTTTATTATATAAATGACAGCAGGGAGACATTGAAAGCACGGAGGCTAAGAGATGAGGCTGCCTTGCTCATCAAGTTCCCTGAGCCTTGGCTTCTTCATCTGTGAAATGGAGGTATCATCATCCACCTAGCCGGGCTGTCAGGGAGATTAAATGGAGTAAAAAGTACTAAATATACTAACAAAGTATGTGGCAGGAACGCGGC